CCTTGTCTCCCAGTTCTTTGGCAATTTCTAGACATTGCTGAAGATACACGATTGCTGTGTTGAATTGCCCAACATTATAGTAAGTACATCCGAGACTGGCATAAGTGTTTGCTTTGACTCTTAGTTCGGCATTCGATTTCCTCATTAACTGAAGCAGACTTTCGTTATTGTTTTCAATCTTTAAAACGTGTCAAGGGTTGCTAAATTATGAGCGGATTCGCAAAAATGCAATGGAAATGTGTTTTTTAAAAGTAATGAGAGTATTGGATAAAACCCTCAAATTGGAATGATAATTCTAGCGTGGGTTTCTTGAAGAGATTTGATTTCAAGTTATTCGAAGTGTTGACTGGCTCTGAATTGCATTTATTAGTTTAGGTTCAGTCGTCATGGAAATATGAGGGGCATTCAGCAGAAACTCTGGGAATTAGTTAATATTGCCTCTTCTTTTAAGCAAAGTTTCATGGAATAATCGAGAGAACTCCTTAATAATATTTTAGCTTCTTTAAACTGCTCAGTGCAGTATAAGAGAACATCGCTCGCTCTATGTGTAGAAGAATCTGCCTGGAACGTATTGATTATTCTTGAAATATTAGTCGCATTGCATCTCGTATCACGTTTGAAACATTCGTTAAAGGATACAGTCAATCCCATATGCAACCAGCTCCTTGCTTCTTTATACCAGCAAAGTTCGGCACAAGCTCTGGCTCCTGAAAAGGAGGGAATAATTGGTGGTGCGAGGTAATTTATCACTGTTACTGGACTTAATTTGTCATTTGGCTGGAAACAAAGATTTTGATTATAAAGGAAATTTGAACTTGTAGAAGGACTGAAAAGGAACAATAAAGAGCTAATGCAAAGTGGCTACCAACTAAGGTTCAACCGATGATGATAACGATGAATTTATCTCACGCATTCTTCATTTTAATGTGCTCTTATGCGCTTTTCAGCACTTTTCAGGGAAGTTTTCAGCCAGACTGCATTGAGCAGTTTAACTTTTGAAAGGGAATTTTTCAGGGCCTCCTTGCCGGGCTTTTTAACGTCCCCTGCTAAGAGGCACAGAGAAGATGCAAGAAACGGGGCTTACGGTCTTCCATTCATGTCCGGGACAATAATATCAGACCATTTGCAGATGTCGTAGCTTGGGTGACAGCACATTCTCCTCAGATATTTTACGACTCCGAGTGTTGGTCCGGCCGAGGTTTAAACCCTCGACCTTCGGCGCTCTACAACGTGAACTAACAAGGCAGCGGTATTTGAGAGCTTATTGACATTTTCTTCTGCTTTTTACCCACATAACAGACATTGTCACACCAGATACGATTGATACTTGGGGTGCAGTCACCTGCCACAAACTACACAATCCTCTTTTGACGAAATCAGAGAATAGAATGTTGATGACTTATGTCTGAAACACCCACCTTTCTTAATAGCTTTGATTAACGAGGGTTCCAATTGAACGGCAACTGTTGCATCATCAAGACATTCCACGTAGTTTGCTATGAGATTCAGGAAATAAGGTTTAAAAAAGTGATAATCATATGGAGTTACAACAAAGAAGCCTTAAAAAATTACAATTACTTAAAATGTAACGAGGATCATTTCTTTGCTTAATTTTCATTCGCTGCAGGGCGATTTATGTTTTTATACCACTTTTCTGCAGTTTCTCGATCTTTTCTTCTCTTGATGCAGATTGTGTATTCCGTTACCTTGTAACGCTGCATGAGAGATTTATATATTTAGATATGAAATTGTTACCCAAACGGAAATGAGCTGTTGCCCTGTTGCTGTAAAGCTTGGCGTTGAGTCGTTTATCCTTGCAGTTCACTTTAAGTCCTTCCGTGTAGGAGTTTATTGCGTTATTAGCTTCTCCTTGTCTGTATTCTTTGTTACCTTTCTCCACACATACTTTCGCTATTTCTGAAAACACAACGTTTTAGTGTTAATGATTTGTAATGAGTGAAACGACCCTTGACGGATGATGCCAACTTTATATATTCAAACGACTTTTAGGTTAAAGGATCTTAAAGCAATGAAAAAAAAATCAGAAAAGTTTAATACCTGTACAGTTTATTTAAGTAAAATGTATAAGCTGTTGGTAGTCTGGGCTGTAGCTTGGCTATTGCTAGATCAAGTCTGTTCGGTTTACATTTAGGTCGAGAGGCTTTCACAAACCCCTTTTACACCTGGCTTACGTTTTCCAAAATATCACAAGTTTTACCAGGAGATCCTATTTCCACTCAATTTCTTTTACAATCGCCCTTCAGGAGAGTTTATCTGTGCATTTTGTTCACTTTAAAATATGCAAGCTATTTGGAGTTTTAGCTGTAGCTTGGCTATAATCAGATCAAGTCTGTTCGGTTTACGTCAAGAGACTTTCCAAAAACCCTTTTAAAGCTGCGTTACGCTTTCCAAAATATCAAGCTAGAATATAAAATTCCATGAGTTACTAAAGAAAAATGCATAAAGCAGAGCAAAGCCAGGACCGAAAAGGTTAAAACTTTTTAATGTTCTGATAAAAAAAAAAAACATTGTACTGAGAGTGACAAGAGTTCGTGGTTTGCCCATCCTTCAGAAAAGTGCGCCGGAAAACATGTTTTTGGTTTTTTTTTCTTTGTTAGTACTTGGTTTTTCCCATACATGTAATGTCTATTTAGAACATACTCGTATAGATTTACTGGAAAAACTTTGATTGGGAAAGTACCACTTTCCCACGAAGTGCCATTTTGCCTGTTATAAAAGTCAGGGGTTCTAAATTTTGTTGACTAGTGGTTTACAGCGTGGGTCTGGTGTTGACATTACTGTCTAAAGAGGCGTGAAATATTTAGAGGACCAAAACAGGCGATACGGCCGAGACAAAATGCCTCCTCTTCTCTGTGTAGAATTCTCAAATTGCGTAAAATTTCTGCCAAACATGTATTGAACGGTAAAGGACAAGAAGGTGTTAGCGTAAATACTTTCTTTTTGGCGGCCTCAAAAAGTTACCCGTTTGCAAATTTT